ATTTAGAAGGGGCTGACCTTACTGTCAGCAGGATCTGGGGTCAGATACTGGAAAGGGAAGGGAATAAGCATTTATTGAGTGCCAGCCATTGTACTAATCATTTTATGAATATTATCCAATTTGATCCTCACAACAACTCCCAAGGTAGGTACTGTTATGATCCCTATTTTTCAGTTGAGAAAATTGAGGCAGACAGAGGTTAAGTGTCACGGGCTCACACAGCTAGTAAGTGTCTGAGGCTGGATTTAAATTTAGGTCTTCCTGACTCCAGACTTAGGGTTCTGTCCACTGAGTTATCTAGCTACCTCCCACTGCCTCATTTACTAGTTATTTGACCCTGGGCAACTCATTTAAGTTGGCTGGGGCTCAGTTTCTGACTGTATAAAATGAGGGTTTTAGACTTGATTATTCGAGGACTTCTTAAGATCTCTTTCAATTCTAAGTCTATGATTCTGTGATATTATTTTCAGTGATACCAGCCAATTCTTTTTTTTTTCTTTTAGTGAGGCAATTGGGGTTAAGTGACTTGCCCAGAGTCACACAGCTAGGAAGTATTATGTGTCTGAGGTCGGATTTGAATTCAGGTCCTCCTGACTCCAGGGCCTGTGCTGTATCCACTGTGCCACCTAACTGCCCCTATACCAGCCAATTCTTTAAGATGTTACAGATACGTTGCTATTCCCAATCTACAGAATAGTTTTTGACACTTAGGAGTTCCCTGTACTAATGAATTCACAGGTCTGTGACCAAAACAAAACAAAGAAATTGATTATAATGTTATTTCTTTTCAGTAACTCTAAGCTTCCTATGCTAGTTTGACCATGAAGTCCTAGGTCCTTTGGGATAAATTAAACGAGGTACTCAAGGAAACATCAAGTTTCTTTGTTCATTCCAGCACGTGGGCCTAATTTCTTTTCTCTTAGTTGTGCCAGGTAATGTGCTAAGTACTAGGGATATAAAGAAAAAAATGAATCATTTATTAAGTACCTATTATTTTATGATTCCTCTTTTATCATGGTAATAAAGAGAATGGGTAAAGGGTTGTCTTAAGTAGTCTACCGTTGGCGATTGGCCCTTTGGGTTATATCACAGAACTGGAAGAGCCCTGAAAGGTCACATAATCCAAGCTCATAGCTAGTGCACGAATCTACCATCTGCTTTAACATATTGTTGAAGTGGAATGAGAACAGGATTTCTAGTCAGAGTTCAAATCCCAGCCCAGGTGATCGCAGGCAAATCCCTTAACTTCTCTAGGCCTCAGCAAAACAAGGGAGCTGTACTAAAATGTAAGCTTCTCAAGAGAAGGAACTGTTTCAATTCTTTTTATTTTATCTCTAGCACCCTATCAAAATAGGTGCTTAATAAATAGCCTTGATTAGATGACCTCTAAAGGCTTTTCCAGCTCTAAATCTATGATCCTATAATCTTCAGTGATTAGAAACTCACCACACAAGCCTTTGGCTTGTATTTTTAGACAACGCTAATTGTTTGGATGTTCTTCTTTAGATTGAGCTGAAATTTGGGTTGTAATTTCTGCCTGTTGACTCTAGTTCTGACCTCTGAATTCAGAAACACAAATAAATCTAATCCTTCTTCCACATGACAATTCTTCAAATAGTAGAAACAGTGATCATGAGCCACATTTTCTAGGCAAACATCCCCATTTCCTTCAACCTATCCTCATATGACATGGTTTCAAGTGCCCTCATCCATTCTTCTGGATGAACTCCAGCCTGTCAAAGTCCCTCTTAAAATGTGGCGCCCGGAACCGAACATAATACTCTAGATGTGGTCTCACTGGTACAAGAGGGAGTACAGTGGGACTATTACCTCCCTTGATCTGAATGTTATTCCTCTGTTAGTCCATCACATTAGCTTTCTTTGGCAGCTACGTTAAGTGTTGACTTATATTGAGTTTGCAGGCAACTAAAGCTCTTTTTCATGTGACCTGGCCAAGTCTTTCATATATTGTATTTTTGCATTGGACTTTTTAACTTAAGTATAAGAGTTTATACGTATCCCTACTTCAGTTTTATTTTGTTTGATTGAGCCCACTGTTTCACTCTGCTGAACACTTCATGGATTTTAACTTTTGTCAATCAACATACACACACACATACACACACATATATACAACATCCTTTCAGTTCTTCTTTTACCTGCAAATTTGATAAGCATATCATCTATATCTTCATTCAAGCCACTGGTAAAAACATTGGACAGAGAGGAGCCAAAGACAAAACACTGCTGTATACCTGATCAACACCTTTAGGGCACGTTCATCCAGGCAGTAATACTATGTGCATCTGATTGTACTATCACCCAACTAACATCTGTTCATCCAAAGTACAAGAGATGGTGTCAGATGGCTCACTGAGATCTAATTCTACTGTATCTTCCACATTTTCCTTATGTACCAGCCTAATAATCTAGTCAGAAAGGAAATGCAGTTAAATAGGTGCAACCTGAGAGACAAATGCTATTATTATACCCATTTTACAGATGAGAAAACTGAGGCTGAGAGGGCTTAAGTGATTTATCTTGGTCACACATCTACAGTCTGAAGTAAAATTTGAATTCAGGTCTTCCCGACTCCAAGTCACTCCACTACATCCCCTAGATGCCCACAGAGTACAGAGGGTAATTTATTGTTATTTAAATAGTTTTTCTGGTCACAGCTATAAAAATTTGGGCCTCAGACCCTTGGTCAAGTCCCATTAATTCTGTAAGAAAATTAGATTCCACCCATTCATCTGTTGATATAAAGCTATCTTTCTTCAAGGCTCTGCTCAAGTACCATTTCTTTTCCCTAGATGAAAGTGATCTTTTGTCATCAGATATTCTCAGAAAAATTGATCCAGATATATCTTTGCCTTTGTTAGAGTCTACTTCATATTATTTGTATACATCTTGTAGTGAATTGGAAAAGAATGCTGTATTTGTCACCAAAGGAGTTTTTGAAATGACTCTGCCACTTACTACTTATGTGATCTGGGGCAAATCCCTTCCCTCCTCTGGGCCTGTTTCCTCACCTATAAGGTGATAATCTAGTTGACCTCCCATACATCCCCTACAGCTATCCATCTGTGATCCTTCCTCAGTATCTTGAGAGCCTGGCACATAGCAGGAGTTTCATCAGTGTTTGCCAGATTATTTCAACTTACTTTCCTTTCCATTAACATAATAATCCATCATGTTTGAGGATTACTTTTGAAGAAAAAATGGTGTTAGTATTATGACATGAAAGGCACGTTTCCTTTTCTTTTCTCCCACTGTCCTTTTTTATTTCTCTTCTTATCTGCATAGTGGATGGGAGGCTATACAGAGATACAGACAGGATTACCCAATAGAAAATGATTTCTGACCTTTTTGAATATTAAAAAAAAACAATTTCCACTAAATGGTCTTTTTTGAAAGCTATGATGATATCAGTCATACATCAATTTCATAATATTTCATTTTCAGAGTCTGTGGATAGATTATATGCCCTTACATGGTAGAAATTGCTGCTTAACTCTTGAGGGAAGTCCCTTGTTAGGGAATTTCCTTCACTTGTGTTACCAGGAACAAACAAAAAAAGAAAAAGGAAAGGAAAGGAAAGCCTGTCAACATCAGAGTATCTTTTTGATTCAGACTAATTTCTTTAGTTTGTGCTTATTCCAATGTATTCCAATTCATTTTGGAGGCCAAGTTGCTCCAACCAGTGAATGCCATGTTAACCTATATTACCATTAAATATATGACTAACACATGACAAAATTAAGCATTGCATCAGACACAGTAGATTTAAATTAATTCATGACTTCTCTTTTAAGTATTTTCTGAAAATCCGTATCTTTGTTTAGGACTTCTACTAAGGGGTCTCTAGAGCAAGTTTTCTCCTTTCTAAGAAGAGATGATGAGGATAAGAGAAAGTTAAAAGGATAGGGAATCCAAAAGACACTAAATGAAAAACAAAGTACAAACAAAAGCCTGTTGACTTTTCTAAGGCTGTTAGAATTTGTTAGAAATTATTAGATTCGGTAAAATGCTGAAGGCAGCATTTTATACGTTAAATGCTAAACCAAGAAAAAAAATTCTAGATATAGGATGTTATGGACAAGGGCTTTGATTTACCTTCCAAAAATTAACCCCCATTCTATACTAAACCACAATTCTGAGACCAGAGCCTCTTTTTAGACAATTCTTTGGGTGATATAAAGGCCCCCTAGGAAAATTTCTGGTTAAAGGGAGAGCACTAACTTAATTATGAAGGTGATAAAGCCAAAAAAGTCCAACCGTGGTATTACTGTAGGTATTACTGTAGCTTTGTCTGCCTCTTTTCAGGGGGAAAAAGTGTATTCGAATGGTATCAAAGTCAGTAGAGATGTGCAATGTTGATTTGGCAGTTTTTAAATGAGTACTGACTTCTGTAACTTTGTATTTTGTAAAGATGAAAAAGAAAAGACACCGTCTTCTTAGCTTTCCTCTTATCTCCTCTCTGCCCATAAAAGTGGTGGAGATGAATCAATGGACATAAGAAAAGGGGCATGAATGCATGCCTCCTGCCAGATGAAGAAATCCAGATCAGTACCTTCCCCAGGGGACTGATAAAGATGCCCCTGGACTCTGCAATAGAGCTCAGCACCCAGGGATGCCTGTGGGAAGAGACTCTCAGACTTCGGATTGCTGCTCCTGAGGGGCTGGGGCTGTGTATGTGTCTGGAAGGTGGAAGGCGGAGTTCCTGTGCTTCTGGGAAAAGACCAAAGGAATGAGTAATTTGAAATATTGTAATACAGACCCTTCTCCCAATCCCTTGCCCCTAACCTCCCGCAGAGAGGCGAAGGGGACTGGAGACACAGAGACGGAGCCCGGGTGGAGGGAAGAGTCACATTTCGGAGGGGGAAGTGAAATAAAGAGGAGGGCGGCAACCGGGGGGACCTGTGCGTCATTGAGGGACCCGAGGAGGAGAAGAGCAGGGTGAGGAAAGCCGGAAAAGGAGAAGTGTGAGAAAGTAGACTGAGGGGCCGGGTGCGGAGCGGGAGGGCGGGGGGCGCTGGAAAAGGGGCGAAGCAGCGGAGCCTACTGCCTCCAGCTCGCAAACCTGGTGGCCCGGGCTCCGGGTGGCTGCCCCCTGCCCTCCACCCCAGAGCCCAGTGTGCGGGCGCATTCGTGCCGGCAGGGCGGTGGAGCGCGCTAGTTCGCTCTTTTTGCGCCAGCTGCGGCAGCTGGAGCAGCGGGGCCATCAGAGCGGGGGGCGCAGCAGAATGTGGCCCTGCGGCTGGGCGTGGGTGCTGGCGCTCCTGGCCCTCCGAGAGGACTGGCTCGCTCAAGCTACCCCCCATATGCGGCAGACCAGCCGGCCCGGCGTTCGGAACAAGTAAGTGCCCCCTCGCCTCTTCCCCTTTCCCTAGGCAAGGCGAATCCCCTTGGAGGCGCGGGCTCCCTGCCTGCCTGCCACTCCCCCAATCCTCAGCGCCCCAGAGCTAGCTCCCAGCCCCGAACCCGCTGGGAGCAGCAAGAAGTCCCCGGGGTGCTGCAGGGTGACACGTAGACTCCCCGCGCCTACTCTAGCGAGCATCGCCGGGGCTGGGGGCCGGTTTGGGGAGCCTGTCGGGCAAGCAGTGAGCTGGCTGGCCAAGCGGAGGAGCCGAACTGCAGGCGGGACAGCAGCGGCCTGGAGACGTGCAGGACTGGCCCGGCCGCACGCTGAGCTCGGGCTCTCCCAAGCCCTGGGGGGCGCGGGGCTGGAGGGAGGGAGCATCTCCTGCCTTGGGGGCTCCCCCAAACCTGTCCAAGGCACACAGATGCTGGAGCAGCTTCCCTTGGCATTCATTCTCATTCTTTCATATACTTAATTTGTTTTAAAAAAAAAGAATCCCCTCCACACCCACGTGCCCTCAGCCATCAATGCATTGTATGTATACAATCGACTCATCCTTTCTTTGCCATTCTCATTGTTCACCCATTTTACAGTTAATCCTTCTCTCTCTTTCTACCCCGCCCCAGGAACTGGTGCGCCTACATAGTGAACAAGAATGTGAGCTGCTCCGTGCTGGAGGGAACTGAGAGTTTTATTCAGGCTCAGTACAAATGTGCCTGGAACCAGATTCCCTGTCCATCCACGCCGGTGTAAGTACTTTCAAGCAAGCTGGGCGGGGGTGGATCGGGGGAGTAAGGGGAGCGCTAGGTCTCCATTCCATCAACAAATCACTTCCAGATCTAGTGAAAACCCTAGAGCCGGAAAGTTACCGCGCTTTGGCAGGGTAGCGCACGGTGTGGAGCTATTTTAAAAGTTTGTATCTTTGTATGGGGATTGAAGAATATATATATGATTTTTGAGCCTATGATTACTGGACCATGTTAGATGATGAACAAAGCTTTCCCTTTTTTGTTACTAACATAAGGCAGCTGAAGCTAATTAGATCCATATTGTGGACTGTGGGGCAAGAGCACACAGCACAAGTTTCCAAAATAGATATTGTTAAAATCTTGGGAAAATTGTGTAGTACTTTTGGATTGTATAATACGGATCAAAATGGTAGTTTTGTAGTAATGTCTTACTCTAGAGAAACTCCACCTCAGTGCCTGAATATAACATTTATTTACAATTTCAAATTCCACCCAGAAAAAGTCACTGTTTAAATTTTATAATTTTTTTTTTACAGTTAGGTGCTTTTGTAAGTGAGTGCAAATTGTTGTCAGTGATGGCATAAAATTATAAGAATTCATTAGCATTGTTTTTTTTTATCAAGATTTCAGTTCCTTACAACAGAGAAAAGGCACCTTTTAAAAATGTACTATACATACACTCATGTTCTGTTAGAACCAACCGTTATAGCGGGAAGAACTTCCACTGGATTCAAGTTCTTACTCTTTCACTAACTGTATGAGAAAGACTGGACCTGTGATTTCATTGATAGAGGGCATTCCTAGATGGAGAAACTCCCCATACCAATGTGCAAATCAACATCTTTTCTGCAACTTTGTACTTTTAGAAAGTTACCCCATCACACTGAGTAGTTGCCCAGAACAACTCAGCCATTATTTGTCAGAAGTGGTAATAGCTGTATGATGGTGAGAACTAGTCATCTGACCAATTGGAACCATAATGATTTCATCTTTAATGTAAATGATAGAAATACTCTACCAAAGTTGTCATCAAATTCAAATGAGGTGATGTGCATAAAACATTTTGGAAACATCCCTCTGATTAGGAGTTATTTTATCTTAGTAAATATAATTTTTGCAGTTATAGTTAGATATAAAATAAGGGCAGATATGTGAATGACAGTTCTGAATGTCACAGAATGACAGTTGTGGCTATGTAGTGCAATTATAGGTGCAATTCATTTTCTCCAAATAATTAGTTTGAATGTATAATTATCGTAATACAGAATTCCAGGCAAAGAAAGTATGCCACTGATTCTTGCCATTCTTGGGATGTTTTTTCTACTTATAGGATCATGGATTTAGAGCTGGAATATACCTTAGGGGTCATCCAGTCCTCCTATTTAACAGGAGACTGAAAAGCCCCAGGCTCAAAAAGGTTACATGACTTCACTAGGGTCACACAACTAGTGACTATCTGAGGATGGATTTAAATCCAAGTTTTCCTGACTCCAAGTCCAGTGCTCCAGACTGTATCAGCAGAATGAAACCTTAGGGCAAAAACTTAGAGCTTAATTGCCTGAGTCCAGACTTGATGAAGTGACTGGGTGGTCCTAGGACCCAACTGTTGAACTGACTATTATAAATATATTAAAGAGGAATTTCTTTGCATGCCCCATATTATAAGGGAGAATCTTATCAGTCAGGAAGTCTTGCAAGGAAATCCTACTCTGCCTTAATAAATATAGAAACCTGTTTAGGCTTATTTAATCCCTTACTCACTCACTGACAGATTAGATTGGATAAATGATCAGATAGAAATGTTTAAACTTTTCATATATATTTGTAATTAATATCAATAATAATTTAGACCAGAAATCATACAACTTTATCACTGAAAGTAGAGTTAAATTTTTTTCTAATTACAGAAAAGAGTCTGCAAAGATTTTTTCCATTGCAGTATTGCGGATTCCTTTTACTAATATAGCACATGTCTCCAAAGCCCTTATTGATCATTTTGAATTGGTTGTTATAATTAGGATATATTTGATTTAAATCAAATAAATGTACATTTTGATCTAAATTAAGGTTAACCAGCTGCTTATTGTGTCTTCTATGTGCAAGCAATGTGCTAGATCGTGAGAAAGATACAAAGATGAATATGTGGTTCCTGCCCTTGAGAAGTTTATGAGCCAAATAGAAATTGCTACAGTCTTAGGTTGCATTAATAAAAGTATAGTGTCCAGGAGAGAAGAGGTGGTTGTCCCACCATACTCTTCTCTGGTTGGGCTACATCTGGAATATTGCGCTCAGTTGAGTGCCATATTTTAAGGGCAGACTTTGACAAGCTGGGCAGTGAATGGATGAAAAAGCACTTATTAAGCAGTTATGATATACAAAGTACTGTGCTAGTGGTACTGGGAATAAAAATAGAAAAACAAGCTAGTTCTTTCTCTGAAGAAACTAACATTCCAATAGTGAGAGATAACGCATAGAAGAGTTTTCAGCTACAATTCAGATGGAAAAGCTGAGGTCCTTAGGGTGAAGTAAAAAAGCAAATGGTCACGCATGTTCTTTAATGCCATTTCCATTCATAAAGTTGTATCAGTTTCTGATGTTGATGGCACTAAGGACTTTGGTGGTAAGGATTTTCTTTTCTGGCCATGTTTTGAGGAGAGGTACTACTAGTATGATGAACAGCCATACCAATATATGAATCAGTTGAAAAAACTAGGAAGATTTGGCTTGGATTTTTGTGTTAAGATATTTGGAATGCTGTTATGTGGAAGTAAGATTATTAGATTTATTCATGATTTGAGAGCAGAAGGAGGACCAGTGGAGTGGACGTTACAGGGAGGAATTTTTCTGGTTAGTAAAATTTCTTAGCAATTAATGCTGCCCAAACATGGAATGAGCTTCCATGGCAGGTAGTGATTTCCTTTTTAGCAGAGACTTTTATACTGAAGCTAAATGACCACTTGTAAGGGATATTTAGATGTGAATCATGCTTCAAGTAGAGAATAGAACAGACGTTTTACTAAGTGCCTGCATTGGGTTGCACTAAATAACTTCTGAGGTCTCTTCCAACTCTGAGATTCTATTAGGTAGCACTGGACAGCAGTAACAATGATCAGAGAGGTGAGAAATCAGGCTAGAGAATGTATCTCACCTCGGCTAACACCATACTCTAAAAATCTGTGACTTAACTAAGCGAAACAAACAAAAGTTGGAAGCGTCTTTGTAGGAAAGATAAGAGGGGGCGGGGAGCAATTTGGCATGCTGGAAATTGGACTATACTGAGAAGGGGAGATCTGGAGTGCAACCTCTGCCACTTATTTTGTGACCTTGGGTAAGTCACTTCTCTGACAGAATAGATGTTCCCTAAGATCATTTTCAGTTCTGAAGCAAAAGGAAGGTTTTGTGTTTCTCTGATGCCTAATGTCTCAAATTGACATGATGAGATTTCCTCAGAGGGGACAGCCAGGTGGTGCAATCAGTAGTGTCAGGCCTGGAGTCCAAATGACCAAAATTACTTCACATTTCTGTGAAAAAGGTAGTTTAAAATCTCTAAGAGCACGTGTAGGCAAAGGACTTACTAGAAGTATTTTTACATATGGACACCAAAATCTTCAGTTTGGCTTCCAAGATTTTTTAAAGCAGTTTGACTTTTCCAATTGATTTGGCTGGACCTTTTAATCTTAACAAGGATGTCTGAACTTCCCTTCAGAACCTCCTTCTCATAGATTTAAGGCTGTGTTATTGCAAACACATTCCTTTTAATAGCTTCTTGTTGAATTATCATCCATCAAACAGTGGAGATAAAATACAATTGAACAGTGAATGAGAAGGAAGCCAGTCAGTGAGGGACAAGGCGGAACCACAAAAGTAAATTGTATTAGAAGGCAAGGGAAGAGTTCTGAAGAGACCTTTTGTTGTTGCTGTCAAATCGGTTCAGTCATGTCCGACCCTTAGTGATCTTATTTGGTTGTTTTTTTTTTTAACAAAGATACTAAAGTAGTTTGCCCTTTCCTTCTCCAGCTTATTTTACAAGATGAGGAAACTGAGACAAATAGGGTTAAGTGACTTGCCTAGTAAGTGTCTGAGGCAGGGTTTGAACTCAGGTCTTCCTAATTCTAGGGCTGGAGCTTTATCTATTGCACCACGTAGCTGTCCCTGTTCATTTGATTAAAATACCTTTTTCTTGGGTTTGACGGAGGGGCTAGTTGTTTGGGTCAGTTAATTCAGTTAGAATTCATTCATTCATTCATTCATCAAACATCAGATGCCTAATGTGTAATTGCTACAGAGATAAATAAGACATAGTACCCAAATTCAAGGAGTTTACAGTGTAGTAGGGACAAATATACTACAAAACAGGATTTAAGAGATACATTAATATGAATGTTCAGAGGATGGAGTTACTTCTGTCTAGGTGAGTCAAAGAAAGCTTCTTGTAGCAGGAAGTTTCCTCATCTGTAAAATGGGTATAATAACATCAATTACCTTCTAGGGTTGTTGTGAGGAGCAAATGAGATAACCATTATAAAGCACATTGCAAACCTTAGAGTGCTATATAAATGCTAGCTGCTGCTCTGCTATTATCATCACTTGGATTTCAGTTAGGTTTATTACCAGGATTTCAATGGGCTCAGTTGTGAGAAATGAACACATTTCATTCTCCATTTGAGAATGGAGTGAATGAATAGAGGCATCAGGGCAGAAAAGTGAGGGATGTATTTGGGGACCAGTCAGTGGTCCAGTTTGGTTGGGTTGTGAAGGCTGGAAAGGTAGGTTGTAACAAGAGCATGGAAAAACCTGGACTGCCAGGCTAAGGAGTTTGGACTTTATTATATAGGCAGCAAGGAACCAGGGATGTGATCAGAGCTGTTTATGAGCGAGACTAATCTGGCAGTGGTGCATAGGAAAGACTGGGAGGGTGGTGGTGGTAGTGGTGGTGAGTGGAGGTGGGTTAAGAGGCTGTTGCAACATTCTTTAATCTAGAGGTAATGAGGGTCTAAACT